TTTTCCCAGGCTGGAGTACAGTGACACAATCTCAGCTCACTGCAACCTCCACCTCCCAGACTCAAGTGACCCTACTGCCTTAGCCTCCAGAGTAGCTGGGACTACAGGTGTGTGCCAACACACCAAGATAATTTTTGTATTGTTAGTGGAGACAGGGTTTCACCATGTTGGCCAGGCTGATCCCGAACTCCTGGCCTCAAGTGATCTGCCTGCTTTGGCCTCCCGAAGTGCTGGGATTACAGGTGTGAGCCACTGTGCTCAGCCTAATATTGACTTTAAATTGTTCATCTGTGTATCTAAGAATAGAGAAAGAACAGATTTGGGAGTGGGGAGGGAATAGTCTGCCACAACTTGCTTATTTGGGAATCTCATCAATTCCTAGATTAATTTCGCTTGTAGTGTTTATCATTTATATTACAATGTGTGTCCTCTGAATGCCTGTGTTGATTACTTTGTCTAAAAAGTGATTTGAATGATCTAGGATTTATACAGGCAAATCAAGAAAATGTGAAATATATCTCTGTGTGTCAACATTCAACTTAGTTCACAAATTAAAACTTAAGTTGATTATTAGAGAAATATTGCAATTTTGAATTATGTTTCTAATTCTGTAAAACTCTAACGTTCTAGTTTCCATATCAATGTCTTGCAAGAGGATTACGTTTTTATTTGGGTCAACAAAGCAAAATTCCTGGAAGAGCCTACTATTTTCAAGGCATAAAGCCAACCTACACAGAAACATGAGGCTCTCAATGGGGTTAGCAACCCAAATTCAGCCTATTAGATTTGCACCTGATTTCCAGTGGCATGGTGGAGCCAAGGTTACTGGAATGCAAATTCACAAAGGTGGGAAGAATTGATATAGTGTAAACATTTAAGCCATGTGAACTATTATTACTGGTATTATTTTAATATTATTTAATATTAGGTTTAAGAATATTAGAAGCAGCAATTTGTGGAGTAAGTAGAACCTATTTCACTAACAGACCTTATTATACACCTTCTGGCTATTGGATTTTGAGAAGAGTCTGGGAAAAATTTACTCCTACATTGCCTCTGTTGATTACAGTCCCTGAAAACTAGTATCAATGGAGGGTCTTCCTGGTTTCCTTACCTCTCTTTCACCCTCTACTCCTCCTTCCCTTTCTCTCTTTTTTTCATTCATTCCAGCGGTGCCATAGCTCAGGACTGCATCTTCTCTCATTTCTTTCTAACCACTCTCTTTGCCTCCACTACTAGAATGATATTTCTAATTTGTAAATCTTATTTTGTATATCTCTTGGTTAAATACAGCCTCTCCAGTGAAGGTTCAAAGGGCTCACAGTGCTCTCCACCACCTTGGATCTGCCTGCCCTTCTAAGGTCATCTCTAGTTACAGTAATACAGTCCAGTGCCGCCTAAGGACATTTCAGTCAATGAGAGACGGCAGATACAATGGTGATCCTATAAGATTATACAATACTGTATTTTTATTGTACCTTTTCTATGTTTAGATATAGGAATGGTACCATTGTGTTACAGTTGCCTATAATATTCAGTAGAGTAACCTGCTGTACAGAGCTGTAGCCCAGAGCTATACCACATAGCCTAGGTGTGTACAAGGTTATACCATCTAGGTTTCTGCAAGTATACTCTACGATGTTGTCACAACAACTAAATTGCCTAACAACGTATTTCTCAGAATATATCCCTGTAATGAAGTGACACATGACTATAAAAGCTAATCCTAACTGGACAACTAGCCACAATCAAATACATCCCCGTTCTTTGGCCTGTTGCATACACTGACATAATTGTGTTTTCCCGGAGAGGAATGCCCAGCCCCTTACCTGTCTACCTGACTAATGCATATTTCTGTCCCAACACAAATGTCTCTTTTTTAGGCCTTAATGACTGTCTCTGCCTTAATGACCCAGATAAAATGAATCATTCTATCACCACTGCTTGTTTTATATATACATACATATATATATATATATATAGTGTTGGACATAGCGCTTATCACATTACACTATTAGCTAGCTTTATGTCTTATCTCCCCCATTGCATTGAAAGCTTGTTAGAGGCAGGGATAATGTCTCATTTTTTGCTGTATCCCTAGCTCTTAGCACCTTCAATGTGCCTATATTGAGCACACATAATGTAGTAGTTAATTTACATATGTTATCTATCTCCCATTTTCCACATCAGAAATCTAAAGCTTGCAGAGGTTTTGCCTGAAAAAAAAAAAAAAAAAAAGAATACACATGGTAGAAACAACATTAAAACCTAAGTTGAGGCCGGGCGTGGTGGCTCATGCCTATAATCCCAGAACTTTGGGAGGCCAAGGTGGGCAGATCCTGAGGTCAGGAGATCGAGACCATCCTGCCCAACATGGTGCAACCCAGTCTCTACTAAAAAATACAAAAATTAGCCAGGCGTGGTGGTTGGTGCCTATAGTCCCAACTACTCAGGAGGCCTACGCAGAAGAATCACTTGAACCCAGTAGGCGGAGGTTGCAGTGAGCCAAGATGGCACCACTGCACTCCAGCCTGAGCAACAAGATCAAAAACTCTGTCTCAAAACAAACAAACAAACAAACAAAACCTAGGTTGGACTCCAAAACCGATACTTTGTTGTCAATGCTATGTTGTTGTTGACTAGATGGAGATATAAAAGGTCACTCTGGAAATGGTGCCAATCTACCATATCAAACTGAGTTAATGCACTACAGACAATGCGCACAAAATTCACTGTTACCACCTACTTACAAGGCCTGGACTGCTTAGCATCGGAGATTATTCAGACCATAGCATCTACAGAGCAATGCAATACAGGTTGACACCACTTGTGCATCTCAAAGGTTCTTACCTTTTGACAAAACAGCCTTACAGTCTCACAATAGGTTGATGTCTGGCTTTATAGGTAGTATGTAACCATCTCAAGGTCACACAGTCTAGTACCAGCTAAACTAGGCCCAAAACTTTTTTTTTTTGGTTACTTACAAAAAAATTATTATTATTATTATTGTATTTTTAGTAGAGACAGGGTTTCACCATGTTGGCCAGGCTGGTCTTGATATCCTGATGGTGATCCGCCTGCCTCGGCCTCCCAAAGTATTATTTTTTATTTAAACTGAAGCCGCTACATCCCATCAAGTATATTTCTAGATGAAAGTAGTACACCAACTGGAAATGGATGCTCAGTGGAGGAAGCTAGGATTAAATGCCACAGGCTTGCTACAGCCAAGAGCATATCTGCATCTATGAGGGGCAGACCAGAACAGCAAAGCTAATGCCAAGGCCAGCCACACTACGTCTGCATCAGTTGTAGAGTGCAAGAACAAAGCAAAAAATGTGATTCAATATAAAATATGAGGTTTCTCTAACCTCCCATTTAACTATGCAAGGTCCTGTTATTAATTAATTAGGTACCTTCACCAAGGACAGTTAAGAAAATCAGACAACTGCCAGGTTGCTTCCTATTACTCTTGACTTCTTACTGGATACTTTTTATCAAGTGAGGTAAGCACACGATTTCCTCTAAGCTATTCAGCAAAATGTCCTATGCTCCTAAACTGACTCAAAGCAAACACATTTTCTTTTCTTTTTTTTTTCTTTTTTTTTTTTTTTGAGACGGAGTCTCACTTCTGTCGCCAGGCTGGAGTGCAGTGGCCTGATCTCGCTCACTGCCACCTCCGCCTGCTGGGTTCAAGCTATTCTCATGCCTAAGCCTCCCGAGTAGCTGGGATTACAGGCACGCGCCACCACACCCAGCTAATTTTTGTATTTTTGGTAGAGACAGGGTTTCACCATGTTGAGCAGGATGGTCTCGCTCTCCTGACCTCATGATCCGCCCACCTCGGCCTCCCAAAATATTGGGATTACAGGTGTGAGCCACCGCGCCCAGCCAGCAATCACATTTTTAAAAACAACAACAAAAAGCGCAGTAGCCTGGTTGTGTGCTTTCCATTTAAAGAGACACTCCCTCCCTTCAGAGTCGTATTTCCTTGCTCTGCACCAATGGCTATTTTGTTGTTTAAAACAAACACGTAAACAGTGACATTGAAATATCCAGACTACATGGTCTTAAAGAGTCTGGGTTAATGAAATAAGGTGAGTCAGTGAGATGAAAGACTTAATGTTCCAATAATTATCTTTTAAAACCCCCCTTTTAAATGTCAAAACTCTTCAGCTCTTCTCTTAGGGGAGTAGGAAGGGGAGGGGTCTCCTTTAATTTTGTGGAACCTAGGTTTTGTAAGGATATTGACAAATTAGATGCTCGGCAATTAAATTAGAATTTCACCGTATCTCCTGCCTTAAAAGAACAGCTTTATTCTTGAGGGAGCCCACCTAACAATTTTATGTTCAGTCATCTGCAGAGAATAGAGCCACTGTCTTTTTCTTTCCTAACCTAGAGTAGAAGCTTTATTTCACTGCAAGTTCCCTGTGACATTTTGCACTCTCTTGATTTAATGCACCAAAGAGGATCTTTAGCTCTCGGTCTACACCAGTGCAAATAAAGGTTAAATCTCTCACTAACCATCATGAACTAGCCTAATAACTCACGAGAGGCCCTGGAAAAAGAAACCGAGAAAGCAGGTGTGCAGACTTGATTAAAACGTGCAAAACCCGCACAACCGCAGGCAAAGGTACTTTATCCTCACGTTTGCCCAGTACCGGCTGCGAGGTCCGCAGGCAGGGGAACTTGTACTGCGCCAAAAGCACGATTCCGAGAGCCGGGCCTAGTAACACAGGGGCTTTTCTTCAGAACGGTGTCCAGACCGGAGCTTGCGCCGAATGTAGGGGCTCCTATTGGCCACGCGCCGTAGGGGAGGAGACGACTGGCGGGGAGGGAGACTGGAGGAGGGGAGAAGGGGGCAAGGCCTTTTCCCTGCCCCCTCCCGGCCCCCTCCACCGGCTGCCGCCGGTGCCTCGTGCGTGGTTACTATGCAAATTGCAGCGATTGCGGAAATAAACAAGGGGGTAGGGAGAGAAGAGAGGGACTGCCGAATCGATTGCAACTTCTGCAAAGTCTCGTACAATCCAAAGCACGCAAGGCAAAACCAGAGAGAATCTGAGAACCAGCCAGCCCGGGTTGGATCGCTTTCAAAAGAGAGCGAGCGAGCGAGCGAGAGACAGTGAGAGAGGGAGAGAGCGCGCCTTGCAATTGCAAAAGCCTTCTGATTTGGAGTTAAAAAAAAAAAAAAAAAAATTCTCCAAGAAGCCTGCAATTGGCCAACAGCTTTTTTAAAAATCTCTTCCGGGTTTTCAACGGTTCCAAGTTTATTTAGATGTATTTTTTTTAATGCAAAAAAAAGGGGACAACAAATGAAGCAATTCGTCTGAGCATTTTAAAGTTTCTCACGTACTCTTTTTACATTGCAATGGTACGTGGTACATCTTAAACTTTCTATTTTGCATTTATATGATATGCGTTTTATAAACAATAATGGTAGAATGATTTTGTTTAATGGCTAAGACTAAAATTTCTCTAGCTCGCATATGCACTTAAGTGATTGCTGGGTAAATGTCTATTGTGATGGTTTTGTTTTAAAGATGTAGCTTTGTTGATGGTGTTTTTGCTATGTGCATCAGAGACCGGGTTTTCTTTTTCTTTTTTTTTTTTTTTTTCGGGATTTGAAAAAATTGCTGAGCTTGACAGATTTTTTTTCCTCCTAGCGCTTGCTCGGTTCCAGAAAGGGGTGGGGGGAAATCCTGTACGTGCTCTGTTCTGTAAAAGACGTCTGGCCTCAGCAGTCAACCTAACCCGAAAAGAAATGTCTGGACCCGGAGAATAATTGACGATTTGATCCTCTAATCAATGGGACAACATGGGAGATTGACAAAAGCTTTATCCAATCATAAGAAAGCTTGGGTGTACAATAGTTCTCAATAGCCAGAGGGGGCGGGGCAGAGGAGATCTGAAGTTCTCTGCAGCTCTGAAGGGGATGGTGTGGTTCAAGCTGTCAAAGCTACAAGCGCTTCCGGATTTAGCAAGTACAATAGGAAAGAGTTCTCGCGTTTAAGAGAAAAAAAAAAAAAAACTGATCGGGGGAGTTTGCATGAATCGTGTGCCTTCTTCCTTGTCTTTTGGAAAAAGAAACATTCTGCTAGAGAAATAACTTTGCATTAGATATTAACTTTGCATTAGCTATTATTTTTAAACTCAGGGAAGTTGGTAACTTGTGGAATGTGAAGTTCAACTTTAAGAAACGTGTAGCTTAAATCTTGCCTGAATTGTGGGACTGTAGTGAGCTTTGGGAAGTTAACATATTGCGTATTCAGCATTACAAAACTTCTTACTCTGATTATCTTAGAAGCTTTGGCATTTCGAGTACTTTGAAATTAATAAGTAAACCTCTCTTCTTGAACTCTAAACAACAGTTTTAAAGGAGAAAATGTTTCACATGTGGACTAGCAGCTGTCTTACACACTTGAAATGAGGGGAGTGTTTTTTCTTGGCTGTTCTTGAATTCTGCTTTTTAAGTATATGGTCAGTAGGAAATAGGACATTAAGACTGGCCAAGTTCACATTTCTTCTTGTTACTACAACAACCCCCATGGAGGGTGTGAGTATGGAAGATCGCTGACTTGCTGTTAGTTGGAGTCTGGCCTCTTGGACAAGTGCTTGATACAAATCCAGTGGAAACCAACTGCAGTAGCTTGTCTTGGAGACAGTAACTGGCAGCCTCTGACTAAAATATCTCCATCTCCTCTCTGAGCAGTGTAGACACCTAATTCTGTTGGGAAGTGAATGGAAAATAATATGGGCTCTTTCCCTTCTTTGGATTAAATTCCCATCGAGCTATTTCCCAAGGCTTTAGGCCTTCCAGTCAAATCTGGCTTGGAATTTGATGTAAGAATTCACTTGGACACTCACTTCAGCAACATGATTCAATTTAGGATTATATGCACATAAGAAAAATCTGCACAGAAGTGACCAGCAGGTCAAAAACCAGAGAAGAAAAAATGTTGAAAAATGCCAGTTAATAAAGTTAGTGTTGGTAAGAACTACAGAGTTATGGTGTTGTCACTTATGAATCCCAGTTCTATCTTCACTGCTTTGGGTATTAAAATCTAAATCATATTAATAAGATCTCCCTATTAAGTAACCTCCAAAATGAGAGCTATTTGAGATGTACATATAAGTGAAACCTTATTGACGTAATTTATATATCTAAGAGGATTTCACTAAAGCTGGCAAGGTAACGTTTCTGCAAATAAAACACAGTAAATGCAAGGCTGGGCTCTGTGCCAGGAAGAATATGGATAGCAGAGAGCATGACAGGAGCCTCCTTTGCGCAGAGACAATCCCATTTCAAGGCAGCCTCCTACCACTTGCAAAATAAATGATTGGAGTGGTTATTTCCAATAAGGGGTTTATCCTTCCTAACAATGGGGTCATTTATATGATTGCAGTAAACTAGTTTCCATACTTCACCTGCGTTTCCTCCACTGCTCTCTCTACTATCCTTTCTTTCTTCCCTCCTCCATCCCTGCTGTCTCTCAAGTGCCTTAGTATCTTTGTGAACTCTGGACAAGGATTTACTTTTGCAACTTGGGAAGAGGGGAGAGGGTTGGAAATGTTTTTTACCCCCAGTCTGCCCTTTGAGGAACATCTGTTTCTTTGTGCGTGTGTTTAAATTTATGCCTGTTGGAGAGAAAGTTACCAGAAGCCTTTCTGTAACTGTAACTCTTCTACTGTATTTTTCTCAGTCTTGTTTCCAAAGGCTGTAGTTGGAACTGTGCTTTGTAGTGTTTCCCCCGCCTCCCCCCCTCCCTCCGCGGGGGAGAGAGCGGGAGCTGGCGGAGATAGGAGAGAAAGCAGGAGCGGATGTGAAGGGCTTTGGTGCTGAACTTGGATCCAGCCCTTGCCTAGAGGGCGCAAACAATCGTCCCATATCCAAAAGTCTTACGAAGGGCGCCAAAAGTTACTTAAGATAATATTGCTAACCGCAGAAAGCTGGAAATCGCGGGCACATCCACTGCTGCACAAAAGAAGTTTTTAAAGTAGAAATATCAGCATTAAATTACTTCCCCCATTTTTTTTTTTTAAACAGGGCGATGTGCCAGTCCTTTTTTAAAAAAAAAAAATCTTTTTTTTTTCCTTGAGACTCAAAAGTAAGAATCTTTGCCGTTTTGAAAAGAGGCAGATGTGAAGTCTATCTTTTAATACACCAAAAGAAAGATTTTAATCTGCTCTGGAAGAGAGCTTCCCGAGTACACACTCCGAACAATAACTCCTCACTGTGCCTCAGTTACATGTTGGGACCGTCAGCCAGAAACTTCTATCGAGGAAACTTGGAGCGCATTGAAGTTATAGATCCCAGCAAAGGTTCTCGTGGCCAGGGATGTTGTCTCTGTAACACAGCTTGGCTTTTAGGACATTCCTCCCCTACTGAAATCTGAGAGGAACCAAGGAAAAGCAGTGGGTTAAGTTTGGGAAAATGGACTCTCTCATTAAAGGCTGAAATCATTATTTTTCATCACTCCTTAGTAAATAATCTTGAGAGATTTCCAAGGATGTTCAGGAGGGAGGGTGGGGGAGAGAATGGTTCTTGAGCATTCGGGACTTATTTTGGCAATAAAGTAACTAAAGTACAAGCATAAAATAACTTTAGACAGATGCAGAATTATTTCAGAGGTTCTCTTTTGCTCTTTCTCCAGTACAGTATTTCCTGCTCCTTGCTTTAAAAAGAAGTCTGAATGAGAGTGAGTGGCCTTAACACATCACTCACCCTCGCTTGTTAACACATCACTTACCCTCACTTTCCTACAGGAATGTCCTCTCTTTAGAGACTCTGTGGCTATGTCACCTCCACCGAAGGGCAGATTCCCCTGTGTGCCAGTGTCTTTCAACATGATACCCACCTCTTTCCTTTTGGAATTTTGAGAAGGGTTGTCAAATGCAGCATTTTGCAAACCATCATGAGGAAGAGAAGTAAAATAAGGGATGGGGGCTTAGAAGAGGCAGATATACTTCCCCCCCCCCCCCCCCCCC